AGGTCAATGATGCCCGAGAGAATTCACGGACTTCTCCAGAGCTGGGTTGTTCTCCAGATGCCCTCGGATGGCCTTGCGCATCATGGTGTTCTTGCCCATCAGCACGACAGCCTTCCCGCGGAGAGACATGCGGATCTGCTGCATCTGCTTTGAACCCACATTGTCTGCTCCCACAATGAAGCATTTCGGATAATCATCCAAAAGTTGCTACAAAAACAAGCCAGAAAGAAACAATGTTTAGCAGGAGGAAAGAGAGAACATATCAAATGAAACCAAATCCCACAATCACTGGTTTCCATCTCACTCCTTTTCTTCTAGGCTTTTGAAATGATTCAGAAATTGGGACAATTCCTCCCACGGGGAGCCACCTGAGTTGTAAAATGGACAGATTTATCAAAGATTTGCACCCTGAGTATGAATGGTGAAAATTAGGTTTCTACATTCAATCCAATTTCTTTATTGTAAATTTGTTTTTAATTTCTCCCAATTATGAGGCATGTTTCTGATTCATTGAATGGCTGCATCAGCAGAAAAAAAAACTATTCTAAATAAAGTTAGGTTTACAGCATTTTAAGCGTGAAGTAAAACAAATACAACAAAGCACTACGTGCAGAATCTAAATTGTGGATACGTGATTACTGGACAATCCTTTTAAATTCTGTGTGTCTGAAAACTTCCATGATAAATAGGGGAGAATAGACTAAGCTCCACAAAGCGGCCTAATAACTGAAAAAGAGCATGGTCTGCATTTCTGGGGAGGGAAGACGCCCCCCCCTCCAAACCATCCAAGAGAACACATTCACAGGATGTTTGGCATCTTGACAAGACCTGAAGATGCAACAAGTTGCCAATTTATAATGAGTCACTCATTGGCGCAGGCGTTCCCAAAATGGAGACTGAAGAGCAAAAGTATGAGTGCTATTTGGAAACCAGACAGACCAGATTATGAATGCTGTCATCTTAGGAGCCACTTAAACTGCCTGAGCCCATTTATCTGCAAGGGGGGGGGGGGTGCAGATCTCTGCTTATTGTGAAAATTAGATGAGATGTGCCTAAAATGGTCGTTCAATAGCTGACACCCAGGAGGCGCTCAACACATGACAGTTCATGGTCCCTAGTAGTGCCCAGAGCCCAAGCTGCATGGCGACCGCGAGCCATCCCCGCACTCACGATGATCTTAAGGAAGTAGTTGGACTTCCAGGTCGCCCTGTCTTCCCTGGGCATCACGGCGGTGCGTCAGGGATTGCCACGCAGGGTTTAAAGACGATGTCACTGCGGAGGAAGAGGGAGCTCAGACACCCCCCGACACCACAGCCCCACAGGGCTCCAAGCCCGAGGCCTATGCAGGGCAGACCACGCGTGAGCGCCCGCCAGCCCGGCTTGGGGCTGCCGCCGTCGCCGCCACTCGGTAAGCGCAAGCCACCGCCGAGGCCCCAGGCCGGACAAGCCGAGGCCCGCCCCCTCCCAAAAATCCCACAAAGAACCCCCCCCCCATCTTTCCCGCCGCCGGTGCCCGGCGCAACTGCAACAGTAACACGAACCTCTCACGAGGACGCCTGGAGAGAGGAGGGCCGTGGGCCGGCGCACATCTTTTATATGTGAACGAAGCGGCCAATCAGAAGGCGCGGACAGTGTCCCCCCAGCTATTGGCTGGCGCCAACGCCTGTCTGGTGACGTTTTACTGATGTAGACAGCCATTGGATGATATTGCTGCCACTCCGGCCAACGGGAAGCCGCCTTTAAAGAAAGCTGTTAAGGAAGGCGCCGCTTCATGCTGGAGCCGCTGTCTCAAAGCTACTTCCCTCTGCTGGTCTGGAGCTGCTCGCGTTCAGGAACTAGAGCTTGGAGGCTGAGCGTTCAAGTTTTCTCCGCCACTTGGCCAAATCGCAAAACTTAAAAAGAGTACGATGCAGAGATGAGGAATAATTGCACATGCTTTAGAAACAGCATGGTCTCTTGTCTACTCTATAGTTTGTTCTTCCCCTACGAAAACAGAGGAACCCTTTAAAACCTAAATCAGATCATTACCTCATCTGCTCAAAATTCCTCAAAAGTTTCCCATTTCCTCAGAGTAAAAGCCTAAAACTTAAACTGCCTACAAGGCCCTACAGGATCTGCTCTGGACCTCCACCCCTATAAGCTCATCTCTTTTCCTACTGACTCTCCCTTCCAGCCAGACGATGCTCTGTGCTGTTTTTCCAAAGCATGCTCCCACCTGAGGGGTCGTGCACTAGCTAGTCCATCTTTCCGGAAGGCTCCTTGCCGATATCCACAGAACTAACTACAAGTCTTGACTCAAATATCATGTGCTCAAGGGGGCCTACCCTGATCGCCTTATTTAAAATTACCCAAAAGGGCGCCTGGGTGGCTCAGTTGGTTAAGCGACTGCCTTCCGCTCAGGTCATGATCCTGGAGTCCCGGGATCGAGTCCCGCGTCGGGCTCCCCGCTCAGCGGGGAGTCGGCTTCTCCCTCTGACCCTCCCCCCTTCTCATGCTCTATCTCATTCTCTCTCTCAAATAAATAAAATCTTAAAAAAAAAAAGACTCTAAAATTACCCAAAAAATCCACTACCACTCTCCCCTGACTCTGTTCTATTTTTTCGGTAACACTTACACCTTTTTCTTTTTTTTTTTTTTAGTACTTACACCTTCTAACACACTATATAACTTACTATGTTGTGGTTGTCTGTCACTCCCTGCAAGAATGCAAGCTCCACAAAGCAGAGACGTTAGTCTTGTGCCTGGCACATAGCAGGCATACAATCAATATCCGTTGAGCAAATGAATGCAAGGTTGCAGTCAGAAGACCTGGGTCCATATCCTTCTTGTACCATTTGCTGTGTCATCTTAGGAAGTGATTTCACCTTGTTGAGCCTCTGTTTCCCTTTCCTTAACTGTAAAATGGGGATAATGAAGTATCTACATTCTAGAGTTGCTATCAGGATTAAATGAGATATGTGTTAAGACTTAACACAGTCGGGGCGCCTGGGTGGCTCAGTTAAGCATCTGCCTTCGGCTCAGGTCATGATCCCAGAGTCCTGGGATCGAGCCCCACATCAGGCTCCCTGCTTGGCAGGAGGCCTGCTTCTCCCTCTCCCACTGCCTGCTTGTATTCCCTCTCTTGCTGTGTCTCTGTCAAATAAATAAATAAAATCTTTACGAAAAAAGGGGGGGGCGCCTGGGTGGCTCAGTCATTAAGCGTCTGCCTTCGGCTCAGGTCATGATCCCAGGGTCCTGGGATCAAGCCCCACATCGGGCTCCCTGCTCGGCGGGAACCCTGCTTCTCCCTCTCCCACTCACCCAGCTTGTGTTTCCTCTCTCACTATCTCTCTCTCTGTCAAATAAATAAATAAAATCTTCAAAAAAAATAAAAATTAAAAATAAAAGACTTAACACAGTCCCTGGAATGTAGAAGGAAGTTGCTAAATTCTAGTTTCTTTTATTATGCATTCATTCAACACTTATTTGAATGTGTGTCCTAGATCAATAATTTTTTTTTTCTGGTAATGACTGAGGTAGATCCTAGGGCAGACGGGGTGTTTCTATCTTCACCCTTTCAAGTTAGAAATTTTTGTATTTCTGTTTCAAAGCCTCCTAGTGCCTCTGGTAAACAGCTGTTTAGAAAACCGGTCAAGTCAATTACTGCTAAGATCCCTTTTTAATGACAATGTATTACTGCATGCTCAGCATTGTGTTAAGTACTTCGTACACATTACTGCTGTGAATTTTGCAACAATTTCCTGAGGAGGTACAGTATTAGCATTTCCGTTTATCAATGAGAAAATTCACAGAGAGGTTAAACAGCTTGCTCAAGCCCCAGTGAACAATGGCTTCGGAACTGAAATCTAGGAGCAAGTTCAAAGCCCATGGGCCTCACGATGCTATACAGTCCCTTCCAAACCCTGAGGCTGTCTCTCCCCAAATGCACTTTTCCAAGTATATACACACTCACATGGTAGCTTTCCAAGGACATCCTGGCTCTGATGATATAAATACCCTCTCTAATTGTAGTACATCAATTCAATGGAATATCATGGAGCCATTAAAAAATGATGCAGATCTATATTTATTGACACGGGAAAATACAAAGTACAGTTGAGTGAAAAAGCAGATTACAGTGAATGTGCCATATCCATTTCTAAAAATGAAATAAATTTGACATGGTCTGGAAGAATAAACCGTCATCACCTTTGGGTGAGGGTTGAAGGTAATTTCCACTTGAGCTCACCGTGAAACGGCCAAGATTCCAACTAGAATTCAACATGCTGCTTTTGGGAAACCATTCCAGAGAACAGGGAAATTGTGAAACACCTCAAAGGGGAACAATGCTATTCAGGAAGGTGCTGGGGGCTCAGGACTGGAGTTCTGGCTCAGACAAGAAGGAAGCATGCAAATATGGACACGACCCCTGGGGGGCAGTAGAGACCCATACGCCACTGTAAGTTCGCCAACTTCCGCTGGGAAGGTTCCACACCCAAGGTGTGGTGCCAACACGTGGGCGGGGGGGGGGGGGGGTCTGGTCAAAGCAGGAACACAGGCAGAGGCAAGCCCTGCATTCACAGCCGGCCTCTGTGCTCACTAAGAGGACTGTGATGTGCATGTCAGTTCTCTTCTCTGAACCTTTTTCAGGTTCTTTGTGAGGCCACCCACAGGCGCACATGATGCCCTCAGCGAATCCACAGCCGAGCACTGGAGCAGGGCCTGACCCACACAGGGCCCAACACTGCTCCCCTGCTTTTCCTCACCCACTGATGAGGGAAGAGCAAAGCTCATGAAGGAATACCATCATCCCGGTGGTGGGGGGTGGGGGGGTGGCTTTCTAACCTCAAGTAAGGGAACATCACTGAGTTACCTTTAATATGGTCCCCATGAGTGTGGGGAAGGTTTGGTCTCTCTTCTGGTACCAAGAAAAGGAACTAGGCATGGGTGAAAATAATGGCAAACTTTATTGGCATAAATCACAGGAACTGACATGGGGAAAAGCCAGGTTAGAAGTTTACAGAGGAAAAAAATAAAATAAAATCATCAAATAACCACTGACCCAGAGGATGGACCCCAGAAACCCCAGTCCCCCCCTAGGGGAGGGGCCTGGGGCAGGTCACTGTAAACAGAGCAATAAGGCCTATGGGTAGAAGTGGAGACATCAGACCTTTGGAGGGGCCTGGCTGACGTCCTCAGACCGGGGCTGCTCCCAATCCTGCCTCAAAGGAGGGGACCCTCTCCCAAGACCCCCGCACGCTCAGCCTCTGCTCTGAGGCTAGTGGAGTGGTCTGGCTCTTCCTCACTTTAGACCCCACGGGGGCCCCTTTCTGCTGACCCAGAACCCCAGGCCTGCCTGCTCCCGTTTCCTCCACGGGGGCCAGAGCTCTGGAGGCGTCCCACTACTTTAGCAGGATCTGTCCCTCCGCCGAGTCCTATCAGGCCCCCTTGCAACCACCTGGGCCCTTTCCCCAGACCTCCAGTCTCCAGGAAGGGCAACAAGTTTGGGGAAATGACGGGCCCAGTGCAATCAACAAGACCCACGGTCAATACCAGACACCAGCTTTCCTCAGAAGACAGAAGAGCCACAGAAAAGCAATGAGGAGGCTGAGAATATTATCCGGTGGGTTCTCTTTGCTGCCAGAAAGTTCACAGGGGAGCAAATGCTCCTGATGGCTTACTCGGACAGGAATCAGCACCCCCAAAGTGTACTTTCCCCTTCTCCTCCCTCAGGAACAGGACAGATGAGGTTCAGAATGCTAGGCCCCAAAGGGCAAGACACCCTGAGGCCAGTTTCAGTTAAGAGCTTGCCGGCCCAGGTAGTATCCAGGAAGGGGATTTAAAATACAGCAGTTTATCAAACGGTCCTGGTGAGCTGTGAAGTTAAGGAAGGGGAGTCAGAGAGCTGCTCCCGGTTCACCTGCTTGTGCTAAGAAAAAATAAAATACAAATTGCTTCCCCACCCCCAAGCCCTCAGTACAAGGCAAACCCCACACCACAGCCACTGTCACCAACAGGACCAGTGGCCATGGATGAGCAGAGTACAAAAGGGGACATCTTTAAAATCTCTTCAAAATCATTTTGTATATAGAGAAGTAAAAGCAACTCAGACGGTATGAATTCAAACCTCAGTGTAGAAATCTATCAAAGTCGGTACAGTGTCCAGGCACGGGGGGGAAAACTCCCCACCTCACACCGTCCCAGAGACGGAGGAAGTGACTATAAAACATTATTGCTGGAGAGGCCTTTCTCAGTAGAACCAGAGCAGTTATGGGGGCTCGGGGGGCAGCGGCCCAGGCCCGGGGAGACCGGAAGGGCAGGAGCACAAGAAACCTTCCGCGGCCCCTCAAACACTTCCACCCTTGGATAGATGAATTTATGCTGGCATTGTCTGAAGGGAGCCGGTATCCCCCAGTACTCTCAGGACAAAGATAGGTCAGGTCAGAATCGGGGAGAAGGATAAAAAAAGACCCCGTCTGACCCTGCCTGCCCTTGCCCCTGGCTCCACTGCCAAAGTAGGAGTAAAAGATGGCTCCAGTGTGGGCTGCTGGCCTGGCCAGGCGGGTTGGCGGGGACACACATGGTGCAGGGCGGGGCCCTCCAGCCTCCGCTCCGGGGAGGACGAAGAGCTGACAGCCGGGGGAGGGCTGCAGGAGGAAGGCCCAGAGGCTCTGGCAGGGGAAAGAAGAGCAGGGCCTCTCGCCAACCTGCACCAGCCGAGGGTACGGGTTCCAGTTTCGGTCGGGTTTGCCCCTTCACCCCTGGGCAAGGCCTCTGGGTCACAGTAGCCGTTGGGGAGGCTGGGCCAGGGCAGGGGGACCATGAAGGGTGCCTAGCAGAAGAGCTTGAGGAAGCAGTTCTGACAGTAAGGCTTGTCGTTCTGCTCCTTGAAGGTGCCCTTGTTGAGCTGCTTGAGGCAGAAGGCACAGACGAAGTGCTCCGGGTGGAATTTCTTGGCCATGGCGGTGATGCAGCGGCCCGTGATGGGCTTCTGGCAGCCCGAGCAGAGCGAGCCTCGACGCTCGTGGTAATGCACCTCACAGTAGGGCTGCCCGTCGTGCTCAAAGAAGCTGCCGTTGACAAAGGGCGTGAAGCACTCCTGCCAGGCAGAAGAGGGGGCAGGGCGGAGGGCGGGGGGCTCAGGCTGGGGCTCCAGGCTGAGACAGCCGCTGTCAGGCTCATGACTCCCACTGGCTAAGCACTTCCTATGTGCCAAGTGCTGCACTAAGCACTTACTGCATTCTCCCAACGGAGGAGGCAACTGAGGCCTGGAAGTTCAGTGACTTGCCTGAGGTCACACAGCTACTAATAAGCTGCACAGCCTGGATTCAAAGAGAGGTCTGACTCCTGGGCAGGTGGCTGAACACTGTGCCCAGAAACCAACCTGCATACTTGGGTATAAAAGGCACTGAGAAGTCCTGAGGTGAGCAGTGTTTCCCAAACTTATCTGGTCCGAGAGCCCTTGTTGGATCCCTAACGTCTGTGGACTCCCGTTACCCCCAGAACACAGTCTGGAGACCACTGGCTGTTTCCACTGAAGCTGGTACTGCATTATCTCATTTCATTCTCACATGCCCTTCTGCTGAACACGACGGGTCCCAGGGCTGCCACACAGGACAAGGCTGGGGCACATGCCTGCCTTCCCCTTGGTTTCTCCCAGCCTCACTGTGAGCCCTGGCCCAGAACCCACTAGATTTGAAGAATTACACCCCCTATCTGCTCACCCCTTCAATAACCCCTAAGTTAGATCCAGAGAGCACAAGGGGGTGGGGGGAACCTTCTCTCCCAGCGGCCCACTGCCAGCTCCCTCCAGATGAGGGAGCTCCTTACCCGGCACACAAAGCATTCCGGATGCCAGAGGGTGCTGAGGGCCGAGATGTAGTTCTCCAGGATGGCCCGGGCACAGCCGCCACACTTGGGCGCGAACATGTCAAAGTAATCCTTCCGGCAGTAGGCCTTGCCGTCCTTCTCATGGAACCCTGAGAAGCAGGGGTTTGGGGGGCCGAGTGAGGGCCTCTAGAGATGGAGCCATCCTGACTCTAACAGCAGCGACGTCTCCTGCCCCTGCCTCCCAAGCGCTGGCGGGGGGGGGGGGCAGCAAGGTGGTCTGCCTCCCAGTCATACCTTCGGGACCAAAGAAGGCTCCACACTGGGCGCAGAAGAAGTGCTCAGGGTGCCACGTCCGGTCAAGGGCTGTCACCACTTTCTGTGAGAGCAAAGTGTAAGATCAGAGACCCGGTGCCAGCCCACTGGCCAGATCCCACAGCAGAGACTCACCAGCAGGACTGTCCTTCCCACCGCCCCCCCCCCCCCCCCCCCCCCCCCCCCCCCCCCCCCCCCCCCCCCCCGAGATCAAGTCTCTGCTCACTGTGCTCTGATTACCACCGGGAATTCCAATTTATAGAAGGATGTGACATGCCAGACACACTCTCTCCCCTGAATCTTCCCATGCGGTTAAGGTCATAGGTTCTATTGCGACTCCCATCTTATGAGTGGAGAAACAGGCTCCAAGAGGCTGAGCGTTTCTCTCAACATCTCACAGCAGGAGAGGGAGGGAACCAGCACTCCACTCCATTTATCAGCGCAGGGCTCCTAAGCCCTGGAGTGTCCGCAGCAGGGAATCTGGGATGGGAGGTGGAAGGGAGGCAGAGGCAGAGGGGTCCTGCATCCAGCCTGGGTTTGGATCCCAGCCCCACCACTTCCTAGCTGTGTGAGCTCGGGCTCGGGCTTGAGTGGCCCCCCTGACCATGAAATGGCCAGAGCCACGGTGAAGAGCTGGGCGGTACGCCAGCCTCCCGCCAGCCGCGGGGACTCACATCCAGAATGGGGCCGTTGCAGTAGTAGCAGCGCGGGGAGAAGAGGTTGTGATAGTCCTTTTCACAGTAAGGCTGTCCATCCCGCTCAAAGAAGTTCCGGGATCCGATCTCCTCTTGGCAATGGGTGCAGACGAAGTGCTCCGGGTGCCACGTCTTTCCCATGGCGGTCACAACCTGGGGAAAGAGGCGGCACGAGGCTCGAGGCTCAGGGCCCTGGCCTGCCACAGAGCACCCTCCCCAGAGGAGCCAAGTTCCGGCCACCTGCAGCTCCCTCCCCTGCTCCACCTCCACCTTCATCACCTGCCCAGCAATGGGCTTCTTGCAGGCCCCGCAGACCCCTTTGGCAACTGTGGCGACCCCCAGTTTGTTCAGGTCAGACTGCAGGCTTCCCAGCATACTATCCAGCTGGCTCCCAGGCTTCGGGGGCCCCCCAGGGGGAGAGCTGCTCCCCGTCTTCCCCTGGGCCATGAACTGTGGAGACAGGGAGAGAGGCAGTCAGGACTTCCAGGCTTGGGGATGAGGTCTCGCAGCACCGCGGCACCGGGGGCTTTTCTCCCTCCGGGACAGAGGGGCTGAGGGAGGCAAGCAGTACAACCTCCTCCAGGGCCGCTGGAGCCCGCAGCCCGGAGCCCAGAACCCGGAGCCCAGAACCCGGAGCCCGCTGCCCAGAGCCCGCAGCCCGGAGCCCGGAGCCCAGAACCCAGAGCCCGGAGCCCGGAGCCCCGGGGGGGTGGGAGTGGCATCCACAAGACATCCTGGCGGTCAGAGGGGCTTGAGGCACCCCACTGGCCTGACCAAGGCCCAGAACACAGGCAAGCAGGACCCTAGGCCCCCAGCCTCGGCACTGACCCCTCCCTTGTCCTGCCCTTCGGGACTGCTCTGCCTGTCGCTCAGAGGCCAGCTGGCCGCCCACGCTTCTCCATCCACCACTTGCTCCAGGCCCTGGATCTTGGATAGGGGAGGAAACGAGGACAAGAAAACTGTTTTTAATTAAGGAAGAAAGAGAAAGAGACCTCGGTATCGGACCATTTCACAAAAGGGAATCTAGGATGAGATAAGAGGATCCCCCCGCACACACACCACCCCCCCACCACTGGCAGTACCAGAATTAGGAGGAAAAGTCTAGAGAAAAATGACCCAGAGAGAGCAGCCCAGGGAGAGATGAAGAAGGATAAGAAGGGGAGCCAACTAAAGGCATGGACACTGGAAAGGAAGGGTAAGTGGGGCTGAGAGCACAGAGGCCTCCGGGTACTGGCCTGGGGGCTGGAGGGGAGGAGTAGGTTTGGCTTCCCTTCTGGGAATGGCTTCCGCAGGGGAACCTGCAGCAGGACCAAGGGCCATGTGGAAGGGGCAGGCAGAGAGAAGCCCCACTGGGAAGGAGGCGGACAGGGTATCAAGGGGCTGGGAGTACAGACAGCAGGTTAAGAGAGGGTCCAGCGTCAAGGCAAGGTCTAAGGAAGGGCGGTGGTACTGTCCTGACTTGTGGACGGAGGGCCAGAGGGGGTGTGTGTGTGTGTGTCTATGTGCCCGCAAGTGTGCAGAGTGGGGACATGGCCCGGGCGGCGGGACGGGGACAGGGAGGCCTGCCTGCATCGGGGGGAAGAGCGGGTCCTCGTCGGTCTGGCAGCCCACGGACCTCCAAGTGTGGGGTGCAGGAGCGGGAGGGGTGGGGCCCCGCACACCCTCCTCCCGAAGCCCTGCTGCAGCACTCAGGACCCCAGGGGAACCTCGGGCAAGAGTGGAGGGCCCCAAGGAGGAGGGGGCAGGCAGGCTGGGCGAGGGAGAAGGGCTGCGGGCTGAGGCGTCTTTGTGCTGCCAGAGCAAAGGGACAGGAGAGAGAGGAGAAGCCAGAGCAGAGAAGGTTCTTCTTAGGGGAATGGGGGAGCCGGGAGGGAAGACGACCTGGGCAGAAGAAAGGAGGGAGAGAGATGAAACAGAGCGGAGGAGCGGGGAACGGCGCCATCCCCCAGGCTCCCCCTGGGCCTTCCCATCCTGGCACCAAGAGTGAGGCCAGCCTCACCAGGCCACAGGCTGCAGGACCCCTTCCCCCGCCCTCCCTCACACACCACATCTCCCCTCCAGCCATCCTGGGCAAGAGCCTCCTGGTCTGGCCCTGGCCCTGGCCCAGCCCCGGGCACCTCCTTGCTACCTTCTCTACAAGCTGCCCCCCAGCCCGCCTCCCACGAGGCTTCACAGTGATGATGACACCCTCGGTCAGCCAGTCCTCGGCGGGGGCCCCCGCTGCCCCTGCTGCCCCTGCTGCCTCCGGCTGGATGCCCAGCCGACCCTGCAGCTCTGCGATGAGCCGCTCCTGGGAGGGGATTCTGCTCAGGGTGGCGGGGTCCAGCCGACGGCGAGGGGAGGGCTCCCGGGACATGGGGTGTGCGCGGCCCGTCTCCCGGCTCCTCCTGATCACAGAGCGGATCTGGGGGGGGGGGGAAGCTGTCACTGTCCCACTCTGGGCTCAGCCCAGGCTGCTCAGTCCACACACAGGTGCCCCGGGCAGGAGGAGAGGGCAGAACAAGACTGCCAGAGAAGAGCCAAGCAGAGGTGAGGTGGAGGCAGGGGGCAGAGCAGACCCTCCACCCAGCGCTCACCTCCAAGTCAGCAATGACATTGGGCAGGACTTCACCTCCAGGGGCCTCAGCTTCTCTATCCTTGAAATGGGGTTAAAGTATTTTCTTGGCTGATTATTCCAAGATTCTTTGAAAGGACGTAAGTGGATATTCTTGAAAAGGCATAAGGCTCTTTATTTGATCTGTCGTAGAAAAATGTGATCTTTCCTGCCAGTAAATCTTTTAATTAGTTTTCTTTTCCTGGTGTGTATTATAACCTGCTCATTTGTAGTGCTTTTGGATTTTTTGTTGTTGCTCTAGTCTGCTTTTTGGAAAGGACATAAAATTTTAATCGAGCAAGAAGCAAATAAGAACAATAACATCAGCCATGCCTTATTGAGGACCATGTGCTGGGTTCTCAGCACTTTACAGGCATTACCTCATTTAATCCTTGGACAATGATCAGGGGAAATGGTCTATTACCACCCATTTTCTATTTTTCAAGTAGGCTCCACACCCAACATGGGGCCCGAACTCGCGGCCCCGAGATCAAGAGTCATACGCTCTACTGACTGAGCCCGCCAGGCCTCCTTACTATTACCCCCATTTTAAGATAAGAAAGCTGAGGCAGGTAGGGGTTTGCCCAAGGTCAGACAGGGCAGCAGGTACTGGAAGCGTGGTTCGTATTCAGTACTATCTGGTTCCAAAGCCCATGCTTTTAACCATTTCACACACATCACGTCAGGAGCTCAGGGGTAGTCCATCTAGAGGAAAGAGCCTTCAAACAAGCAGGAGGCGGACTGTCACTAAGAGAATTTCCAGGGCCCAGAGGCTCCACTGGCCCCACAGAGCCCACTGCTGAACACTGGTCATCAGGGTCACAGGCCACGCGATCTTGGGTTTGCCGCCCAAGCAGACATGCACAGAGTGGGAGGCTACATGCGGTTAGCCAGGCGTGGCCCACACTCAGGCCCGCCCAATGGCCATGCCCGGCAGCCGTGCGAAGCTTGCGCCTGCCTGGCCAGAGGTGCAAATCCTCTCAGTCGTGCTGGGCGTGTCCATGACCATGGCAGGTGGAAGCTCCGGCTGTCCCCTCTTGGCCTCGGCAGCAGCTTCGGTGGCGCCCTCTGGCCGCGTGGGGGTGTCGGGTCCCTGGGTGGGCCTGACCAGCCTTCCCCTCATGGGTGTCTGTCCACCTAACTGCTCCTCGTCAACTGGGGCCGGGCGGCTGCTTTCCGGCTCCCCTGGCTCTGGCTCTGCCCTCCGCTCCCGCTGTCCACATTCCTTTGTGAGATTCCAGGTGTCTGGGAAGATAGCCTGCCGGTCCCCGGCCACGACAGCTGGCTCAGGTACTTCCTGGAAGCTGGGTGTGGCTCCGCCGGGGATCTCAGGCCTGGGCGCCTCCAAAGCCCACAGCTGCTCCCGAGCGGCAGCCATGGCTTCCTCTGGGTACAAGGGGTTAGCCAACAGCTCCTGAGGACCTGCGCACCCAGCTTGGCGGGGTGGTGTGTGGCAGGGGGGCGCCCTGGAAAGCTCATTTGTAAGGTTTGGTAGGTTTCTCCAAACCTGAGCCTGGCTCTCTGCACCAAACGGCCCCAGAGAACCCTCCACAGAGGGAGACCTTGAGCCGGGAGTGTCAGGTGTCGCCTGGAGGCCAGCCAAATCAAGCCAGCTGGGAGCCACAGGAGGTAGAAGGCCCCACCCATTACCCTGGCCCTCCAAGCAGCGGATCTCCTGGGTGGGAGCCTGGCCTCCAGAGGGGGGCTCAGTAGTGGATGGCAAGAATACAGAGAGCCCAGGAGGAGGAGGAGAAGAAGGTATGTGGTGTGGGGATGGCGCCGGTTTGGGAGGCAGCCCCAGGGAGCTCAAGGCCACAGCAGAGGAGCTGGTCTAGACAAAAGGCAGAAAGGAGAGGAGCAGAGATGGGAGAGGTAAGGAGAGGTGCTATCTGCAAAGGGTGGGCTTGGCCTGAGGGCTCTGAGAGCCACCACCGACAGTGCCCAAGACCAGACCGAGGTGGCTGAGAACCCGAAGCATGGGGACTGGCCTGCGAAAAAGACCCAGACCCCACAAAGGTGGGATGGAGGCCATCAAACCCAGGCAGTAGAAAGCCGCCACTGAGCCACGCCTGTGGCGCCACCCCAGTCAGAGTAGGGACAAGGGAGAAAAGGCTACAGAGGGTGGACCACGGGAGACAGTGACCAGGAAGGGCAGCCCAAACGCTAACTGAGAGAGAGTCGGCCGCAGGCAGCTGCTCTGCTTCCTCCAAACTTTGCTCAACCTGGCTGTCTCCCCCAGACAATCCTAGCCTTCCTGCGTCCCCCAAGACCTTCATCTTGGGGCACAGCTACAACCAGCGCACCTTCTTGTGGGCACTACAACGCTGGCTGTCTCAGAAAGTAAAAACAGGGGCGCCTGGTGGTTCAGTCGGTTAAGCGTCCGACTCTTGATTTCAGATTGGGTCATGATCTCAGGGTCCTGGGATCAAGCCCCACATCAGGCTCCCGCTCAGCAGAAAGTCTCTCTCTCTCTCTCTCCCTCTGCCCCTCCCCCTGGTCATATTCTCTCTCTAATAATCTAAAAAAAAAAAAAAAAAGGGGTAAAAACAGCCTAAAGGGTGGTAGCGCAGGGCTCCCCAAGGCCAACACCAAAGCCCAAGGGATTTGTTTCTGATGGTGGCCACTCACCACCCACAACCACTGGCACGTGAGGGTCACAAGCCCAGGTAGCTCCCATCCCCCACTGTGAAACCCCAGCTGGAGGGACTCCTGGAGGTACCCCTCAGGGCCAAGAGCACTCAGATGGCCTGCTCCCCTTCTCAGATTCCCTACTTCATGCCCCAAAGATCTCAGGCAGACCCACGTGGAAGGGTGAAGTCAGCAACTGCTGGAGATCAGTCAGGCACTGCATCTTCTAAATAAAACATCTTGGGTCTGGCAGGCCTGAGAGGCCCAGGACGGGAGGGGAAGGGATGCCGCATGCGGGACTGGCCCAGGAGCCTGAGGGGTTTCGGTTTCCCACAGACAAAACCTGTGGGGGCTCAGGCCTGTGGAGGGTAGGGGGAAGGATGGAGGGAGGCTGGTAAAGGAGACCTGTGCATTCAGAAGCCAGAGGCAGACAGAAAAGGGATGTGCTGAGGACAGACAGCCAGTGTGGGAGATGGGGCTCCAGGGCAAATGACCTCTCAGGCACAGGATCCCAGGCCCACACGGCCCAGCAGAGAATGCCCTCCCCCGCAAAGAGCAACCATCAACACAGAACCCTTTGTCCCAGCTTCCTGATCCCCTGGCCTGGGTGGCTGGGAGCTGGAAGCAACCCGGGAGGAAGGAATTTCCCTGCTAAGTGCTTCTCTGCCCTCAGATGCCATGAGGCAGCCCAGTCCCCATAAGGCCTGGTCTGACCCTCCCTCCCCAGCATCCTGGCAAGGCCAGAGCCCCGGAGGGTCCCTGGCTCAGGGTGAGGCACCCAAACACTGAGGGCCCGAGTTCCAGCTACTCACGCTGAGGCAGAGGGGAAGAAGAATGTGGGGGCAGGGAAGAGGAGGGGTCTCGGAGCACCTTGAAATCCGAAAGGGAGGCCATCAGCTCGTCCAGCTCCCTGGTGGCTGAGGAGGCTGAGATGCGTGTCTGCTGCTGGCTGGAGGTCACTCGCTGAGGGCTGCTCATCTCACCCTGGTTCACAGTGATGGCAGGGCTGCAGGGCGGGCAGGGCATCAGCGGGGACCCCAGAGGCCAGCTCCGTGTCCCCCCAGAGTGGTCCCCTCCTCTCCAGGGTCTCAACATCTCAGCTCTCACATGGGGGCCCCCCTCCAACTCCAGAGAAGCCCACCAGCTCCCGACCACAGCCGCGGGAACAGAGTTGAGGTAGGAGGTGGGAGAAGAGGGCAGCTCGACGGGCCCCTTGCTCAGGAGGACAGCTCTGGCCCTCCCAGCCCGAGTTCAAGCTCGCCTGTTAAACAAGCCCAAGCCCCACGTGTGTCCCCCCCCAACACCGCATGATGTACCTGTGAGATTGTTCCAACAACACAGTAACACCAAGAAGGGCTAACATTCAGTAACCACCAACCATCCATGTGCGTTATGTGCTCTGAGCCAGAAACCATTCCAGAAACTTTCCGTGTATTATTGGGTCTCATCCCATCAAGGCAGGTGGCCTTACCGCCATTATCCCATATCTCTTTATCCCGTTTTACACACAGGAAAACTAAGGCTTGAGAGACAACGCTCAGTAAGGACGGAACCAAGATCCGAACCCTTACAGCGTGGCTCCAGACCCTGCACAGATAGCCACTAAGCTATCGGCACCCTCGGCATGCACAATGTCATCTTTGCTGATGGTTGGGGGCTCACTGAAGGCAGGGAGGGTGACCATGGGACTCTGCGAACCCCCCAGTGCCTGGTCCAGGGCCTGGCAAACAACAGGCCCTCGCAGAGGGAAGGGGTGACAACTGGGCCAAGCGGACAGACACCGGAGTCCAGCGCTGGCTGGGCAAGACCTCCCCTGCCCGGGAGAGCCCAGTGATACTCACACGGGGCTGGGCACGGAGCTCTCCAGTTCATCCAAGAGACTCTCCACACTGGGCCGTACATCCTCCAGGCCACGGCCCCCATTCCGCTTGGGCTTCTCTTTCGTCAGAGGCCCGGCTTTGCCTCCCAGTGGGCTGTTATTCTCTGGGATGCCATAGTGGGGGCTCAGAGCCCCAGGCAGCGGGGGACTTGAGTTGGCCTCATCTTGGAAGAGCGAGAGAGAAAGGCTGCTCAGCCCTGACCCCTCTGGGGATCCAGAGGCCAGCAGGTGGGCCCAGGGGGCCAGTCTTACCTGCAGGGAAGCCCGGGGGGTTATGCTGCACCGCGTTCAGTTCCAGCAGCAGGCGGTCGAGTTCAGAAAGGTTGCTGCCCAGGGAGGAGCTCATCACCGTGGGTGAAGGCTCGGCCGACTTCTGCTTGTTGGGGAAACTGAGAGGCAGAGGGGAGGCCACCGTGAGAGGCACCCCCCAGCTTTGGCAGCCCCCCCAAGACTCCAGGGGATTAAGGTGGCACGGGTGTGAAGTCTCCCCCAGCAAGAGATGGGACAGTGGGGAAGGGATGTGCTGAGAAGAGGGGAGGAAGGAAGTCTTGCCTCAGCTCCTCAACGACACACGGGGACGTGACAGCCCAGCCCTGCTACTGTACGGGGATGGCAGTGCTAAGGCCACCAGGCTAGCCCAAGACAGGATGAGCTGGCCAGCAGCCTCGGGGCCTTGTGCCGGCTGCTGCCAGGCCGGAGCCCTGGCCCTGGCAGGGAAGGAGCGCTCGGAGGGCTGTGTCACTACCTGTAGACGTGCTCTTCCTCAGCGGCTCGGGAACACGGGGGGCCGGCGCCGTCCTGGGGGACAGAGGCGCTGCAAGTTTTGGCACTGGAGCCGTACACGGGTGACGGGGACTGAGGCTGCAGGGAACAGAATGCTCAGAGCTTCCCCCAGGGGAGGAAAAGGAACAGCCCGAGTCACCCCCAGGAGGCTCCTGCTCACAGACCGTCTCACCAGGGAATTCCCACACTCCAGCCAGGAGACAGGTGATTAATACTTGGTCACTTGCCCCCTCACGTGGCCTCTGGGAGACCCGGCCGTTTCCTGGCCCCTCTCCCCATCGCCCTGATCCCATTCGTTCCTGGCTCCCCAAGCTGCTGCCAGACAACCTCCTACTGCCCCAAAGCCTCGATTCCCTGTCTACCCGGCCCCTGTCCCCACCTTACCTGCTGGTGGATGAATCGGGAGGCACTGGGCTGCCACTGGTCTAGGGGGTCAAGAACCGTGCCATTGAGGGCCTCACTGGACGGGGGTGGCGGGACAGGGGGTGGCACGGCAATCTCCTGGTATGTGTGGTTTCCAGTTGGGTATGAGTAGGGGGTCTCCTCGGGCAAGAACACGGGCCGTTTGGAGATGTGGGAGGTGGTGGACTCCAAGTCTGCCAGCAGGGCGTCTGCAGAGAGAACACGCTCAGAGCTGGTAGGAACCAGGGATCCTGGGAACACACCGTCCAGGGGCAGTGCCCTCCCGGCCTGCTGCACCCAAGAGTTAATGACTTCTGAGCACCTGCCCCACCCCTGGGAGAAGGAAGCCTCGGAGCAGGAAGCTATCAGCCCAGACCAGCCTGGCTAAGAACCAGCTTCTACTGACCTCTTCTCCCCAGCCCAAGGCTGAAGGGGCTGTGGAGGCTCCTGGGCTGCCCTTGAGGCTCTCCTACCTCTGGCACTCGGGCACCTGCGTTCCCTCCCGACAGGGCTGTGCAGCTGGCTGGCTGGAAGTCAGAAATGCCTGCCTAGAACTCGGCACTCTGACTCCACAGGGTAAGGCGGGGAGAATGGGCGGGAGGGGCCCCACGTCATGGGGAGGGGCCCAGGCAGTGCCAGGTCCCACTTAAATTCCAGGAGCTTGGGCTTTCTCAGCAAACCACCCCCCCCAACTGGAGTGGTCCCTGGGGTATGGTACCTGCCTTTCTGACCAGGTAGAAGCAAAACCCCAGGCTCCATGCTCCTCCCGAGGCCCTGGGCTACAGGGTAAGGTACGTGGGGAGGTGGGGGCTGGGTCAAGGCTGGTGCAGTGTTCCCCACCCCCTCAGCTGAGCAGGGGGCAGGACTGCTCTGTAGGCTGTTTCTGCGGAAGCCTGGCAAGCAGCCTGGCCCCAAAGGCTCCAGGGCCCCGCTACTTTGCTTTTAACAGCAGAAGGGAGCCGAATCGAGTGCAAGCTTCCATTACCCTGGCTCCGGGCGGCCAACAGGGGGACCCTGGATCTCCCCAGTCTCCAGACAAGAGAATAGCTGGAGGGGCAGGAGTAGGAACCGCCGACAACCCCTCAACTTCAATCCTCCCCCCCTGAGACCCTCAACAGCCCCACAGCCCAGAGAGCCTGGCCCCAACACCACACCCTCATTCCTACCATATTCAAGGACTTGCTCACTCTCACTTTCCATGCCGACCTGCTGGGGGTCAGAAATGCTCAGTCCCTGGCGCCGAGGATATCATTTATCAGAAAGCAACGGCTGTATCTACACCAATCCCTAAGAACAGGCACCATGCTAGGCACTGTGTGTATGGGGTCTCTCCGTGAATCCTAAAATACTGGATAAAAGCTGGAATTCTGATCCTCCCTTTACAGACGGGGAAAGGGCCTTCAAGGGGTGGTGGAACCTGCCCAGATAACAAAGCCAGTGAGAGACAGGACTGTCTGGCTCTTCAGTAGCCCCAAGCCCCAAAAATCTGGCCCGCAAGAGTCTGCTGTGATCACAACATGATGTCATATTTAAACGGTACAACTTCCTGACTGTCGGGGCCCAGGCTGATCCTTCTTCACGCCCTGTCCTCAACCCTACCCCTGCTCAGTAGAGGGAAGCAAGGGGGGCCCACACCTCCCAGCTGCCTGCCCTGCCCTCCCGCCCCCAAGGCTGGCCACACCTACCCCCAGCTCTTACCCAGAGGGTCAGAAGGGGAGCTTGTCACAAGGCCCAGGACCCTGGGGCCAGCAGCCCGGCATAAGGGTCTCCTGACTTCCGAGGAAAGTCAGTTCCTGCAGCCCTCTCCCCCTCCAGATCCTCTATAAATAGAGTCTGGCTTCCCGTCTCTAGCAAAGCAGAACTAGAGGCCATCAGTGTGTGCCTAGGTAATGACGGAAAAGGAACCAGTGTCCAGGACCAATCTCAGTGGCCTCTGAATGGCCGCACCTGCTGCCTTGGCTTCACACGGCATCCCCACTTCCCCTGGGCCCGATTCAGCAGGGGCAGGGTCTCCCCTTTTCCATCAAAGGCAGAGCCAGCTGGAAAACCCCACAGGGCTCCCCCAAGCAGGCACCACGTACAGCCCCAGTGGGAGTAACAGGAGGGGCTGCCGCGCCTGACGGCCCCCCAGGAGCTTTACCCCGCGTTCCTTCCCTTCCTCCTCACGGCAACACCAGCGCCGAGGGTAAAAGTGAGGCGCAGGGAGGCAGAGTCACGTGCCCAGGCTGCCAACGCGGGCTGACGGGACCCGGCCAGGATCTGAACTCGGGGCTCTCAGGCTCCACTCAACAGAAGACAAATGGTTAACCTATCCCATCAGACCCTCGAGGGAGGGCCTCCACGGCCTTCTGCCTCGAATCCCCTCCCCCTCCCCCAACTCTAAGTCTGGTTTACAATTTCACTGGGTTCTTTTACACACCGATGCATCTGTTGGTCAGAAGGAGCAGTCCTAGGGGGACAGAAACAAAAGGTCCCAGGAGTTCAAGTCCAAGCTCCTCTATCTAATCTCCACGGCCACACAGCCAATCCCTTCGCTTCCCTGAGCCTCAGCTGCCCTGGCAAGCTGGGATTCATAATTCCTACCTCACAGTATCAGTGTGAGGTCTACATGGGATAGCAGATGCTACAGGACATGGGAAGCTGCAAATATCAGATCTTATTTGTTTTGTGAAATTCTGAAAAACATCTTCCTCCCGGGAGGTCAGGGTAGGATGCAAAGTACTCACCACTCCTACATCTTCTATGGGTAGAATCTGGACAAGACATGACAAGGGCAACCCTCACAAGAAAAGCGAAGGAATAAAGTAACATTCAGAGTGAAGCGTGTGTGGACGCCAGGGGAAAAGCACATCAAACGTGTGTCTGCCTGAGTGGGAGAGCACATGCAAGAGGCACTCCTTCTCTCTCTGCACCCTTAGTCGTTGCTCAGTGACTGCACAGGACGTGGTGTCACTGTCTCCCCAGAGCTCCCCACAAATGCCTCAGGGAAAGGAGCCAGGAATATAGGAGGCAGCCAAGGAGGCCTCTGGCCTCTACTTTGGTTTTCTATGGGTTCAGAAGGTCACTATGTCCCCAAAGCCTGCAAAATGGTTTCGGGCCAAAGTCTCCTTGCAAGCTCAGCAAACTCCTCCCCTGCTTGAGTTACCAAAGGTGGCAGAGGGAAGAGTGCTCAGGGGCGTCCACTTGCAAGCAGTATCCCATGGGTGGGTCCTCCAGTCTTCAGCAACATCTACTGCCTGGTACCTAGCTCTAAATACCCGACGGCCGGGCTCAGAGTCCTTCTACCCAGACCCCAAAGAAGGTGGAACACCATCCCCCTCCCAGTGTTTGTAGGATCCACTCCAGATACACAGAGGCAGTACCAGAAGGTGGGGGGCAGGGGGGCACTCCTTCTTCCAAGCTAAGAAGGCTCCAAACGTCCTGAGCATTTCTCCATTAAGTTTCTGGGTCCAAGCCTGAAACCTTGCGGACAAGTCAGAGCCACCAGGACCACCCAAGCCACCCTGCGGAAGGAAGCTCTCCCTGGGGCTTCCCATCCCTTTTCTGGAAGAAACCACCCTAGATGCTGCAGGCTTTTTGTCTCTCTGGGCGCGCTGATGCATGTCCTAACAGAAAGTGGAAGTCTGTGGGTGAGACCGTCCGATGTGTGTGTGCCAGGGAGAGGGGGTTCTCCTCTCCAGGTAGATGGGGGAGGGGATGGCAGGCCGGGGGCAAAGTCTCCAGCCCACCAGGGGCAAAGGACACCCAGCTCCGCCCCGGCGAGGAAGGAGTGCGGCCCATCCACTGCTTCCCGCCAGAGGGCGCTATTGGGCCGTCGGCTCCCTGCGGCAGGCACCGTAACCGAAGGTAAACTCGCGCAACCAGGAATTTTCGAGCCGGGGAAGACCGGGAAGCCCCGGCCATGGGCTCCCGGGGGAAATTTCAACCCCGAGAAAGCTCGGTGAGCTGGAGGGACGGAGCAGCTACGGGAGGAGCACGAGGAGATGCCAAACCTCCCACCCAGGTCTGGGGCACACGAACATTTGAAGGCACGGCCGAAGAGTGACGCAGCCCCACGGGGCTCCGGAGACTCCCAGGGACGCGTGCCCCTCCGCAGACGCAGCGCCGGCGGCGCCCCCGTCCCCACCCCGCGGCCGGGCCTGGGCCCAAGCAGCCGCTCAGATCAGGGGTGCCTTCGGACCCGCAGGCCGCTCGGGGGCAGGCGGCCGGGGCGGGCAGGGCGCACCCGGCCAGGCCGAGACGAAGAGGCCCTTTCCGGGGCCCCAGCGACCCGCCGAACGTAATCCTGCGGGCCTGGCGGGCGGGACGGGGAGCAGGAGCCTCGGGGTCTGCAGCCCCGAGGGGGCTGAGGAAGTTAAGACGCAGCCGTCCCCGTCTGGCTGCCCAGGGAGGGAGGGGATGGAGGGGCCGGTCTGCCTGCATTCCAGGACGCAAGCCGCAGCTGCGCCCCTCACATTCCCAAACCAGACCGGGGATGCAGGACAGGGGCAGCCTGGCCCTCCTCATGTCCCCCAGACTGTGGCTCTGGGGGACCTAGGCTGACCCACTGACACATGATACCCTATAATAATCTAAAGAGATGCAATGAACCCCTTCCACCTCCACCTCCAATGAAGTATAAAAACAAGTTAGACTCACAAGCCTGGCTTCCTCCTACCCAAGCCCTGGCCATTCTTGAGTGTGTGATAAAGACTGCCAAGACCAGAGTTGGGCAGATGCCAAGAGATAAAGGTCTATCATCCACCAGGATCCCTCTAGTGGGGGAGGGGGGCGGGGGTATGGGGGAGGGAGGACCCAGGACTACTCCATTCTCTCCTCCCAGGTTCTAAAGACACTAGATGTTAGAACTTGCCCAGGGGGATTCTGAGTCGCACAGATTCTGCTCCGCGGCCAAGCTGCTCAGCTGGGCTGCTTAACGGTTCTTGTGCCCCAGTTTCCTTGTCTGTCTGGTGGGAATTCCACCATTTTACTCACAGGAGCAAGGAATATCATGAAAAAATGGATACACAGTGCTTGCTTAGCACTGTCCCTGGAAGAGAGCACACTCTCAGTAAATTGCTAACCTGAGGGGAGCTGGCTCCCAGAGAGATGGTGAGCCCTGGAAGGGAAGAGAAAGCGCCTCCCCTTCCTATCCCAGTCCTGAGGCAAAGGATGAGCAGTTTGGGGCACCCCCCTGGGGAAAAGAAAGCCACCCTGGAGAAGCCTCCGC